CCAAAATTGATCATCCACAGCTCCAAACCTGCCCAGGGGAAGGGGTGAGCTGCACATGTTCCCACAGGAATCCCAAATGGATKTGGGGATGTGGGGACGTGCCCTGAGTGGCTCAGGTTGGAAGGGGTCACTTGGTGTCACCTCCCTGCTCCAGCAGGGCCATCCCAGAGCACAGGATTGTGTCCAGCTGCTTCTGGARTTTCTCCAGGGAAGGAGAATCCTCTCTGGGCAATCYGTTCCAGTGCCTGGKCACTGCACAGTGAGCAGTTCTTCCTCGGAAGAGAAATGGGATTCACTCAGGCAAATGCTTTTCCACCTGTGCTGCGATTTATTTCCAAGGATCCTCCCTGCCCTTCAGGAAAATGTCCTGACCTCGCTGAGCTGACCTTCCTCTGTGCTCCAGGGGAAGATTTGCCATSATCTGGCTGTGTTTTTAAAGGAATTATTCCTGCTCTTTAGGAGGATGGATAGCAACAAGACATTTGAGCACTCAGCACTTTGGGTAGTTAAGATCTCAAATTAGTCACTAATAAACTCTGTGCACGTCAGTCCTGGCAGCTCACGGTTCCCAATCCCGCAGGGAATGGGGGAGAAGCTGGAGACAGAGCACCACCTACTTTTGGAACATTTCAGTGGAGAGTCCTGTTGGTTTCCGTAAGGGAACAGGAAGGAGGGTAAACAGGAAGCAAATGGAAATAACTTTAGCAAAGTATAAAAAAGGCTTTGCTGTCTGAGGAATCTCACTGATCTGTCCCCTGTGCTCTCACTTGGGAGAGCACAGCCTTTAAAGTGGGAATTTATTTGGAAAGRCAGGTCCTTATTTTTTAGACAGTGACTAAAGCAGCTGTGGGGTGGAAAAGTATCACCCCAGATGAAGTGTGACGGTCTGAGCAAAGCAGATCCTTCATCTCAGTGCCCAGTCTGAAGGAAATGGATATAAATCCACTCCCTGGAACCACCCTCAGGGCAAGAARTGCACCTCTGGTCACTCTCTACTCAATATAGCACAGGGTCTTAACGTTGCTGATTGATTTTCAAGGTCAAATACCCCAGGAAAGCACTTAAAATATCCAAATATGTTCTGAATTACCTGAAAAACGTGAGCTCTTCAAAGGGATTCATTTTCACACCACCTGCTTGAGAATTAAAACCTTTCTCAGGTCCCTGTGTGTTACTGGGTAGCCTGCAGGAGTTAAATATTTTAAAAGTGAGTTAAATATTTCAAAAGTGAGTTTAATGTTTTAAAAGTAAGTTAAATGTTTTAAAAGTGRGGTAAATGTTTTAAAAGTAAGCACTGGCTGACAGGGTGTCAGTGGATGGGGTGTCTCRTGTACCTGCTGGGGATTTACAGCCCAGGGAGTAAAAAGCAATTATGGTTATAAAGTGATTAGGGGTTACAGCCTGGGGAGAAGGGCAGTAAATACCTGTGGGAGCTGTGGTCACTCAGCTGGGCCTGGCTGCT